AACATGGTTTCCATTTCTTTCTTATGCTGGGCATTCATGGCTTCCAGCATGTTTCTGATCTCATCTATTTTCTTATCTGTTTCTGCTCTAGAGCCTCTAATCATGTCTTTCACTCTGCTCACCGTATCTGTATTTATCTAGGAGATTATTTCTGTTTTGAATTTTGCTAGAGCCTCATGCATCTGTTTTGTTACTTCCTGTGCTGTCAGTTCAGAGTGTCCAAGTGGTTGCTTATCAGAGTTTTCCACCTCATTTTCCCCAGAATTTCCTTTTTGTGGTGTGGAAGCCTGCGTTTGTGCCTTGCTTAAGTGTCTTCTCTTTCTTGTTTTTGGTACTGTCCTTGGTTTAATTCCTGGGTTGATGTTTCAAAATTGCTCAATGTAGGTATCTTTGTTGCTTTAAAACCATTGTGGAATGATTGCTTTTCAGAGGTGTCTTCCAGATATAGCTTGTGTTTGAGTTTTGAGACTCTAATGACTCTTGAGGCTATTTTATTTTCCTTATACCAGGAAGGAAAACTAATTAGATCAATCACAACATGTTAGCCCAAATGACATAGTCAGTAATACCATACCATCAAGCATAGCTTAGAAAATGACAGTTTGTGGTAGTTATTAATCTATCACTTTTAACTATGTGAGTTAAATTAAAACCGAGGACCAACCCAACGTAAGTTTATAATGAATAAACTCTTCAATATAGCATCTTTTCCCTTCAGGTTGGGGAGTTACAAGGAGTTGGGGAGGGAGGGACAGGTAGAAAGAACAGGTAAGATTAGCGTTGAGGCCAGAAGACACAGAAAGATCACACAAACTCTAAGAAGTTGTTAAAGGCAAGAGAAAATGGCAGAATGAAAGAACAGAGATGTGAATGGAATCACCTAACAGCAACAGGGAGGCCAGATACTGTATTTACTTTCCTTTAAACCTAATGATAATCAAGAGAAGGATAAAGAGAAGAAAAAAACAATAAGGGAGAAATCCGAATTCAGTGCAGAAAGGAACAAATGGGGAGATGAGGAACAATGTGGGACAGCGAGAGAATGAGCGAGAGAGAGAGAAAGAAAAGATGAAAGAAAAGTAAAACTGAAGAGTATAAAAAAGTAAAAATGAAGAATTAAAAATAAGAGGAAAAAAATTTTTTTTTCTTTTTTGCAAATAGCAATAGAAATTATGGGCCTCCTTCAGGGTATGTCTCTGCTGTCACAGTAGGCAACGTAGGAATCCGTGTGCATATACGAGTCAGTGGGACTCAGCAAGCCAGCAGCAGACCAAGTGCAGTGGTCTGATGTGCCTTTATTGTAGAGATTCTCTTTACTTTCCCGCTGAGCTTTGGTTTTCATGGTGGAGCCTGAGAAGCCCTCTTTCTTTTACTAACTTCTGCTCTGTCTTGTGGCGCTCAGGACAAGGGTCTTTATAATCTCCTGTGCCTCTGTAGTGTGGGACCAGGTAGCAGAAAAGCCAGAAGGCCAGAGGTGAGGCGCTGGGGTGGAGGGGAGTGGGACTGGGCCTTGGAGGCGCCTGCGAGGCTAAGTAGACCTCACCGTGTCGTGGGCGGGGCCCGGGACTGCCGTGGAGCTTCAAGCTGCTTGTCTCACCTGGCCGGTCGCCCCCATGTTAGTGAATTTCTAACTCGGTGTATATTTTAGTCATTTACAGGTGGAGGATATAGACTGGGTAATTCCTTTTGTAAACGGTCTGAATACATATATGGCGAAAAGCAGCTGCAAGATGTAAGTATAATAATCAAAATGAAAATGTATAGGTATTTGCCTCTAGTTCCTATTGTTTGTTTTAAAATAAAAAATTAATTATATAAGTATAATCTCTTTGTTATTAGTTTAAGCATGGATTAAAAGAACCAGTGTGTGAGTTTTCAGTCTCAATGTTTTTTCTCACTCATGACTTAGCGATACTTAACTATGGAAAGAATGTGTAATTCACAAGCAGAATGACCTTTGATATATATAATAATTATAAATTGCATCCTGGGATAATGTAAAGTGAGTTGTAAATATAGAACACCTACAGTCATCTTTGTTTCTATTTCCTTTGGAAATTTTGGAGTTTTAATTTCACTTAAAACATTTGTAGTTTCTTGGAATGTCACTGAAAGTTCAGTCTTGCCTTTGCCTGAGTATTTAAGCTCTGGAGCAGAGAAGAATACGGGTGGAGGTGAAGGAGCAGGGTGGGAGTAACAAGGTATCAGCTGGATCCTGTCTTCCAATTGCTTTAATTTTCTCAGTGAACCATGAGTGGTTGTACTTTAAAGCCAAGGTCCACCTGTAGGACCTTTGGTATTTGTAACCATTGTCAGTTTAAAAAAAAAAAAGTCTGCTAAGCAGACATACAGTTCCACATCTTTTAACTGTGAATAAAGAATAGTACAAATATCTCTGTATTTTAAATTATGTAAATGATGTATGTTGTGAGATAATCATATTTGCAACTTAAATTGTTTGATGGAGATGATTCTTATACTTTTTATTTTCTATGTCCAAAAGGTTCAGATTTTGCTTAAGCTGTGGAGCAATGGTTTCAGTTTAGATGATGGAGAATTGAGACCTTACAATGACCCAACAAATGCTCAATTTTTAGAGTCTGTTAAAAGAGGGTAAGATGTATTGTTTGTATCCTATTTGTTACCAAAAGTGAGACTTTTTTTAACAAAATATTGTTCAATAGTGTACTAGTTTTCAACAATTAGTTACTGGAATGTATTACATGGTAGTTGCTAGGGAGATGGATATTCTGGTTCTTTGTTGGGAAGGAGCATTGGATATTGGCCTCTTTAAATCTAATGAATGTATGGATTTAACTCCAAGAAGAAGCATTTTAATGTAATAAATCAATGAATTGATTAGCATGTCGCTGCCAATCCACTAAGCCACTGTCCTGCTTAGTATTGACAGTGTGATTCTCAGTGCATGTACTTCTGAAATTCAGCAGCATATGTTAGCTATCTTTTAAAGTGGCATTACTGCTGGCAGATTTCAGAAGGGTAGTTTGAAATTACATTTTATAAAAATGAACCAAAAACAGTGCTTTACCCCATCCGAGGAACATTGTAAATCACATTCTTGCTAAAGGTTGGGGAATCAAGTGATTTTGCTATGATAATAAAAACTTTTCTGCATTATCATTTCACTGGTTAACAACTGGATTGTTCCTGAGTAGAAATACAACTAAACACATAAAGTTAATGAAACCAGAATAGATTATATTCCATGAAGGAACTGAAGGTAAGGATTTTGTAAAAGATGAAATATGTTCAGGGAAAGTGGCTGAAGTGGAGTGGAAATGAAATTATGTGGAGTTCAATTAACGAAGTAAATCTGAAGAAAAGGCATTTTAGATGAATTAGCATGCATTTTGTATTTAAATTCATCATAGATAATGTCAAGATACCTACCAAGCTAAGCCAAGAAATGCTATAAATCATTGAGAAAGGTGGGAAGCTGTCCTGAGAGCCAGTATATGGTGGTACATACTTGAATGTAGCAATTTAAGTCAATGCCGTGGAGTTGAAAACTTGCAAAGTCACTGGATACAGTTGGGAGCAAATGGATGGGGAAATGTTCAACTGCTAAGTGAAAACTAGTCTTGCTGTTGAAATTGATGCTAATTTCCATATGGAGATGAAAAACATGCTGATGATCTGATTCTGTAATAAAGATCAAAACTAACTTTTTGTTAAATTCATACACTTTGTAGGTTAATGTTACTGTTCAGACAAATGGCATCATGGGATTTTTAGATTTGAGCCATTTCACCAAGTATAAGTTATGATCAAGAAGAGTTTTAGAAAATAGATAATGTGAAGTAGGAAGAAAAGGGGCAAAGGGGAAGGAGAAGTGGGAGGGTAGGGGAAAGGAAAGAAAGGAATGAAATTAATATGAGAAAGGAAAAAAATGGAAACAAAGTCTTTGTAAATAGGGAGGGGTGGAGGGGTTGAAGGGAGGGCAGGGGAAGGGGGAAAAAATAAGAACCAAGATACATTATGTAAAGGTACAAATCTCCAATTATGAATGTCATTATATTGTATACCTGAAATGTACCAATAAAATTAGTCTCAACTGTGTAAGACCCATTGTTCCCTTTTTGCAATATTTTGTATTACTATCTTCACTGTCCTAAAAGAATTTATAGATAATATAATCTTCCAGTACACATCATTTCTCACAAAATTGATATAATTTTAATTCTACCTTATAATTGATATAATTCTACCATAAATATACTAAATAATAGAGTAACTTATCCGAAATTGATAGCTATTTCAATTTATAAGTGCCTGAGTATGACCCACTAGCAGAAGTAAGAAGTCATTAGTTTATTACTCTGTAAAGCCTAGCACTGCTCATGTAAATGTGACAGATATAAAAATAGAATAATGAGATACGTGAAGTTGTCAGCTTAGTTACTATGAGTAGCATTTCATCTAACGACTTTTAAGTTCCACACAAAGCAAAGTACAAGCTTTCCTCAGCTTAAGTGGCAGACAAATTCTTGGAAATTTCAAAGCATATTAATAAAATATCCCAAAAGTCTTTTTTGTTTATTTGTAGTACAGAGGTAAGCTTTAGGCTCAGTCATTACAACAGTATTAGGGCACTCTTGATTCTGTGGAAACTAGGACCAGTCTTTGTTTGAGATGAGTCCCTCGTTCCCTTGCATCTTCATTCCCTGGCCCTCCCACTGCACTACAGTAGTCCTAACTAGTCACCCAACGATCAAAGCACATCTATTAGTTTTCAGAATTTCCTGGAGGGAGTTTAAAAATAAATGTTTACATTAACTAATTATCCTCATAGAAATTTGCTAGTGCTAATTTAGATACCAATTTCTGTGTTATATTTTAACTTCCTAAATGCACTCCAAAGTCACTCTGAGAAGCAAAAAGTTTCTGTGTTGAGAACCACAAAGAAATAGTGTGGGTAACTTGAAGAAAGATTTATGAGGACTGATCAGTCAACATGGAAATTTTTAAGTTAAACAAAAATTACTCTTTTGCAGTATAGCTCATAATATTTTTTAGAAACATAATTAAACTTTTTCCCCATCTTTTTAAGAGAGATTCCCTTGGAGCTTCAGCGACTGGTTCATGGTGGCCAAGTGAACTTGGATATGGAAGATCATCAGGATCAAGAATACATAAAACCTAGACTGAGGTTCAAGGCTTTTAGTGGAGAAGGACAAAAACTTGGAAGGTAAAAAATTGCAATGAGAAAAGTAGTTCTTTTTTCAACATGAATTTTGAGACTATAAAAAAAAGGCCTGTGATATAAAACTGAAATCTGAACTACGAAGACCTTCCTGGTATAATTAGATATACAAATCTGGTAATATTAGTAGCTAATACTTAACAGTTACCACATTCCTGGTATTATAAGCACTTTACATGCATTAGATCTCTTAATAACAATTCCTTGAGATACTTATTACTCCATTTTGCAGATGTGATAATTTGCTCAAGATGATTGAACTAGGAAATGAAGGATTTAAACACTGGCATTATGTCATATGCCTCTTTTAGATTGCATGGTTTCAAAAAGGGAAATTGTAAAGGGCTATTGATTAGATTAAAAGGTGGATATCTTTCATCACAACTTGAAGCATCCCTATCTGCCTTAAGTAATTACTTAGATCTTGCCATAGGAGGGGTGTACTTAGATTGGTGATTTTCATTGGGGTTTTTATACAGCCAAATTCTTTCTTCAAGTTATGGAAGCCCAGTGTCTGAAACCTGAGCTTCTCTAGCACAGAAGGGAATTGCCTCGAGACATTTCCAAAGATCTCCTAAGACTTTGAGGAGCACAATTTAAAACTAGGGGACATGTCAGAATGTATGTGTGGAATTTTCATACAGTCTTCATAAAACATATAAAATAGGTTGGTAAAGTTACCTTGTTTGTTCCCACATTACTACAAGTGACGTGGGATTGTAGGGTTGGTGATGCCACAGTGTATCATTGTGTGTACCCTTTATTCCTTTTTGTAATAATTTCCCTTTTGTGTCCCCCTTAATGCTTTGTACAATAGTTATCTTTTCTCCTCTCTCAGAATAGGAAGGAATTTAATATTGATTCTTCGTCTCTTTTGTGTCTCCAGGCTTTCTTTCTCTGTTCTTTTCTCCTGATAGCGGTTGCTTCCTGGAATATATAGGGAATGCAGAAAGATGGGTTGACCTTGGTGTTTGTTTTCTTTTTTTTGGATTTAAACTCATCACTGTCCCATCACAGGTCTCCTTAGAAATGCTCTTCCTTATCTCTCTTTCCTGCCAGCCAGGTCAGGCTTCTTCCTCCTTGTTTTGTTTGCTTGTTTGATTGATTTAAAATTATAACTAGGAACCCCCCCATTCATTTTCTAGCCCTTCTGATTTTAATTTGGTGTTTATTGAAATTATGTTTTTTAATTGCAACAGGGAAAATGTCCTGTGATTTCTCTGCTGTTTGTGTGTTTAAATTTATGACCAAGAATTTATATTTAAATGTAATCTGTGTTATTACAGTAAACCAATTTAAATCAAAGAGGGTAGCGTAAAGGAAAGACTGCTGAGAAGAGCCATTGTTTATAATTTGCAAATCCACCTCATGAATATAAGATAAGCAGGTTATCTGATGATACTATCTCACAACCTTTTTCTTGGTAAAGCAAATAGCTAGAGAAAATGACAAAAAAAGAAAAGAGGAGCTGATGGAAGAGAGATCAGTGGTAAGAATGCCATGTTAATCACTAACCATATTGAACAGAATTTTGATCAGAGAAAGCAGATCTGCTTGCTATTTTAAGTAAGTTTTTTAAGAGTTTTGGCTAGTTTATTAACATCTAGGAGCAAACCAAGCTTTCCTTGTCAGGAGAAGCAAATATAAAATAACACTGTTATAAAGAAAATAAATACCTGTGCCTTCTAGCAGGTTCTCAGTGCCCATGAAGCTAGGGACACTAGGACATTCCATCATGCCTGTGGTAGAAGACCCAAACAGCTCCACCACCTTGGTAGCCAGAAGAGCTGTACTGCTTCCCCTTCATAGTGATCACTTTTACTGTACAAGTACAGTAGTTGACACTCAGTATCTGCAAGTGCATGGTCCAAGGACTCCTGTGCATAAGAAAATGCACAGATGCTGAAATCCTGTATATAAAGTGGCACAGTCATGTGCTGCATTACAACACCTCACTCAACAGAGAACCGCATATATAGTGGTTGTCCCATAAGATTGTAGTGTAGCTGAAAAATTTGCACAGTGCTTTGTTTGTGGTGATGCTAGTGTAAGCCTCCTCACTGCCAGTTTCAGAATACATACACCTATGTACACTACACAATACTTGATAATAAATACCTGTTACTGGTTTATGTACTTAAATGTTTTACTGAAGTTTATTGTAAATAAACTTATGTCATGCTGGCAGTAGCCTTATACATCTCTTCTTTGCCACATTTCTTGACTATGTCATTTTCTCCTGTTCTTGATTTAATCTATTTTGTTCATCATTGCCTTAGCAATATGCTGTGCTATGTACATTTGTAGTCTAGGTAGACTGTACAATCTTCCCTGCTTTTGTAAGCACACTGTATGATGTTCACACAATAATGAACCCTGTGAATGAAGTCACTTATTACTGCATGTCTCAGAATTTATCCTTCTACTTAAATGAGGCAAAAGTGTATTTACTTATGACCTATACCCATCCTTCTATGTACTTTAATTCATCCCTAGATTATTTATAATATCGAATACAATATAAATACTCTGTAAAAATCTGTTACACTGCATTGTTTAGGAATAGTGGTAATAATTTTATTTTTCATGTAAAACTTAAATGAAACAAAACTATGTAAAAAATCTCACTGCGGTCTGATAAATTGAATGACAGGAAAGTTTTAAGTAGCGGAGACTTTAAAAGCTAAATATTAAAGTTGATATAAAAACTCTGGTGCCAGGTAGTCTGATGAAATTCTAAAAAGATAATTGTGGAAAGGATAGAAAGTTAGACTTCTGAGAGATGTTAGATAGATATAGAAGCATAGAATACAAAAGAATCTTAATACTGTACAATGAAAGAAGCCAGATGGAGTAGAGAAGACTCAAGCAAAGCCATGTTCTTGCTTCTCCAGAAATCATGAGCGATCACTTGAGGATCAGCTGTACATCTAAGTATTTATCTTCATTTTTTCATGTTTCACTTATTCAGATTTGTATTCTAAATCTTAAATTCTTTCTTCTTAGCCTTACACCTGAAATAGTTAGCACACCTTCCTCCCCAGAAGAAGAGGACAAATCTATACTTAATGCAGTTGTTCTTATTGATGATTCAGTGCCAACTACAAAAATTCAAATCAGGTTAGCAGATGGGAGTCGTTTGATACAAAGATTCAATAGAACACACAGGTAAGCTTATTTACCAGCAGAGTATCTAGTTTGCTATTACTTACCCAAGTAAAACTATATACACCTTAAGTAATTATAATATGAAATACTTTACTTTTGAAATAAGTTTTTGTCAGAAGGAATAAAAGGATAATAACTATGTATAAGAAATGAAAGATAGTAATCATTCTCTATAAACCATCCAAATACTAACGTAATTGCAGATACCACACAAAAATAAACCAAAAGCTGTAGTTTTGCACTGCTAACAAAACCATATGAAGTGGACTCAGACTTAATCCAACATAGTAGAACCTTAAAGAATTTATGGTAATTCTATTTGGGATTAACTTTCTGTATAGAAAATTCTACATATAAATATGTACAGCATAAATACAGCTTAATTATGTTGTCTAGTACTTCAAATAAATTAAATGTCCCTTTAATATTAGACACTGAGATTTGTTGTGCACATAAAATATTTTTATTAATTGAAGCAAGATCCCAAGGGATACATTTATGATCTTAGTTGAGTTGCTATGATTATGCAAGAGGAATTTTAAAAAATTATTCTTATAATTTACACTTTAGACTAATCCTGCCATATGCCAATCCAAGTTACCTTTTTCTTGGCCATATGCTGCTAGTGTGTGTTATACTTTGAAAAAAGCAGGGCTTGCATTTTCCATAAAACAATATTGTTAATAATTAACTGTATTCATGGCTTGGGATTTAGCTCAGTGGTTCCGCCACCTGCCTCGCAAGTGCAAGGTCCCAAGTTCAATCCCCGGTACCAAAAAAAAAAATTAACTGTATTCATATTCCACCTGAAGATTGTTTCTATTTTTCAGGAAAAGTAAGTCTCAGGAATACTCCAAAGTTAATCTTTATGTTTTAGTTTAAGGCGAAGATAAATTCTTCCTCTGAAATAAACAAAATGTAACTTAAAGGTATAACATTTTTAAATAAGAATTAGAATTGTATAATTTTAAGTATGATGATCTGAGTTTAGCTAAAAGCTCTCATAGAAATGTTTAGTGAAGTAAGTTAGACATACAAGTTCAACTATCACAGTTTCTCTTATATAAGAAACAAAAAAAAAGAGAGAGATAAATAGGAAATAGTTCAAATACTTCCCCAAATTACAAATTCCATTGTTTTAAAAATATTTCAATATATATGCAAATTGGCTTCATAATACTACATTTATCTTAGTTTGTTGAGAAAAAAGATTTGTGTTCCCTGTTTCCTTTTGTAAGAATCTTTTTGATTTATGTCTTATAGTCTGAATAACTACTTTGAAGATAACAATACCCGGTATAATAACTATTGTTAGTCTCTTACTATTTGATTATGAAAGTTTGTATTTTTTTGTAAAATTTTAAAAAATTTTAAATATGCCTTTTGTATAACATTTTTTTTTTCATTTCTCTAGGATCCTGGATGTCCGGGACTTTATTGTACAGTCTCGTCCTGAATTTGCAACTCTTGACTTTATTCTTGTGACATCATTTCCAAATAAGGAGCTAACAGATGAAAGCTTGACACTACAAGAAGCAGATATTCTTAACACTGTGATACTTCAGCAACTAAAATAATATTGCTCCTATCCATTCAGGTGCATATAGGAATAGGTAATGTGCCATATTAATAAGAAAAGTACTGTACTTCCAGCATTAAAAAAAAAACCAATTATTTTTGTTGATTGTACAGATAAATTTTGGTTTTATTGGTATTCTATTGTCCAGGCTTAATATAGATGAGTATGGAGGTATAGATCTCAAGATAAATATGTTTGAATTTTTAGTTGCAGGGCTAATTTATGTTGATAACTTATAAATATCTAGGCAAACCAATTTGTTACATGCTGAGCATTAATTAGCAATATTTGTTGGAGAGAAAATGAACAAAACCCCTTTTTGATCAATGCATTTGGTAAAATTTGCACTAAAGTTTCTTAATGCAGCAATGACCAATAGCCATTAAGAATTTCTTTGCTCAAATAAGTTGAAAATTTTTTGTAATACTTAATGAAAAGTATATTCTGATTTTGAAAGTATTTGATCATACAATAATTATTTCTCCTATTAAGGATTTACACACCCTTTTTATTTATTTAGCTACATTAGTAGTATCACAAAGTACAGTTTGATCTTAAATTTATTTTACAGAACTATGACCATCATAAACTAGAATCAAAATGATTTATAAATCAGCAGTTCTTATGAAGATATGGTAAGCAGTGCTTTAAAATCAAGTAACTACGGGCCAGGGATTTAGCTCAGAGGTGCTGCCGCCTGCCTCGCAAGCACAAGGTCCCAAGTTCTATCCCCAGTACCAAAAAAAAAAAAATCAAGTAACTACAATTCCTCCCAGAGCCTGCCTTGATCACATTTATTCATTCATTCAACAAATTTTTCTAGGGGCTCCTTTAAATATACTAAACACTGTTCTATTCAAACCACAATTCTATTCCAGAACAAAGTTACTTTAGAAATACAAAAATGTAAATTCAGTTAGACTGGATCTAAAGAATGACCAACATTATTGTTTACATTTCTGCTGAAACCAAGTATTTCTCCAATGTGGTGCACTACATCAGAAATTATATATAAGATTCCCAGACCCCACTTCCTCTTTGATCACCATTTCTGGTTAGTTTTGTATTGCACCCAAGAACAAATTACAAAGTTTGTAGCCTAAAGTAACATAGATTTATTTTCTTAAACTTCTGTGGGTTAAAAGTTCAGTATGAGTCTCACTCTGCTAAAAATCTATGTGTTGATAAGGCTTCATTCCTTTTAAGAGGTGCTAGAGGAGAATTACTTCTTGATATTTCAGCTTCTAGGGGCTATCCTAATTCCTCGACTTGTGGTCCCTTCTTTCATCTTAAAATCCACCTTTGGATTTCTGACCCTTCTTCTGTGATCCCATCTACCTGATAACACTCAGGAAAAGTTCTTTGCTTGTAAGAACTTACGTGAGTAGATTAGGCCCACTAGATATTCGAGGATTATCTCCTCATTTTAAGGTACCATTGTAATCTTAATTACATCTGCAAAGTGTTTTGGGGTGGGGGGTGTGTTTGTGTGTGTGTTCATTCATTTAAGGTTACTTGTTCATAGGTTTGGGAGTTAGGACATAACCTTTGGTGGAGGAGCATTATGCCTACCTGCCACATTCCACCCCTCTCTTAAATGATTCACATGTGCCATGCCAGATAAATTTATCCCATTCAAAGGTGCTCAGTAGTCTAAACCTTTAACACATCAACTCGGAGTGCAAAATCCTACTTGAATTTCACCTCTCAGAAGTCCCACATCTCACCATTGAAATCATCTCAATTAAAAGACTTGGGGTGGGATTCCACAGGCATAACTTCTCTCCACCCCTGAACCTAGAAATTAAACTGTGCCCTCCCATATGTAATTGCATTTAGCTGTAGAATAATAGTTACAGACATTCCTGTTCCCAAAGCAGGAAATGGAATGAAAAAGGGAGCCAAGCAACTTAAAAATCCAGCCAGGCTCACACCATTAGGTTTCAAGGCCTAGGATTAGTCTGAAGCTCACAGCCCCTTTCCTTTTCACAAAAGTAGCTCAGTAGTTTTATTAGCTTGTTTCTTCCATTTGTATCATGCTCTCTATACCTTTCGCTTTAAGATGGCAGAGTTTCTTCTGCAGCACCTTTAGCATCGTGATTCTACTAAAAGCATATGGACAACCTTTTATGTAATCTCTGTGATGATTTAGGTATTCTCTGTCAACCTCCCTGCTTTCTTTATGCACCCCCCCAGCATTAACTTCTAAATTTCTACTAACAATCTGTTTAAGGAAATCTGGATTCTATCATTCCCCTCAAAATTCTTCTAGCCTCTGCCACTGCTCAATTCCAAAGCCACTTCTGCTTTTTTTAATACCTGTTACAGAACATCCCACTTCCAGATTTCTAGAAAAATCTTTTATCCCTATTCGCTGCCAGTTGATTTGAATGGGATCACTTTTCCTGGGTCACTGGTGATTTCAAAGGCATAAGATAGGTGTCTGAATACACAAGTGCTACTGGAATTACCACAGGGCCAAAGTATTGGTCTCTGCACTGCAGAAAATTTTCCTCAATGCCATACAGAAGAGTCTTCCTAAGTCTTCCCTGAACATAGGAAGCACTGCTTCTTTCTCTTTATTAAAAAGAAGTTGGGTAATAACAACCCAGTTAAAAAGATTAGCAGAAATAAACTACCTTTTAAACAAAACAGAATCATCATCCTATGGAAATGATTTATTGGAGGAAATGAACTTTTTCCCCCTGTGGCATAGGATCTTGCTGTGTTGCTCAGGCAGGACTCAAACTACTGGGACTAAGCAGTCTTCCTGCCTCAGCCTTCCAAGTATCTGGGATTATAGGTGTGTACCACTATGCTCAGCCAAAGTGAACATTTGTAAATAAAAGGGCATTGCCCTGTTTTGGATTAAGAAAACAAGGAAGAATTATTTGAAAAATTAATTTTTTTAAATTATTTTCTTCTTGTACTTTATCAGTTCGGTGGAGTACCTATAGATGGACATACAAAAACTCCTGCCATTGTTTTGTATATAATGGTCTTCCAAAACAGATTTATTTACATTAGGAGAGGGAATTAAGCTTCCAGAAGAGATGAACAATATGTTTATATGTGTTACATAATGTTTTGCTTCATTGAAAGTCATTTTCCTGAATTATTTTTACTACTGCAGTCACTGTCTTTTAAAATTAATAATCATCAAAAAAAATTTAAAAATAAAAATAAAAATAAATTTAAAAAAAGAAAAAAATTAATAATCATCTCAAAAAATCATAAAAATGAGCAGTTAGACAAACATGTGAAGACAGTCATTTTGCATGATGTCTGTAATCAAAACTTTGAAGAATCTGGTTACCAATAAAGTATGTTTTCATTGATACTCATTGAAAATGTTTTTCAAACTGTCTTTTGTAGTTCTGTTAGAGTGGTTAAACAGATTATTTTAAACATGCGTAACATTTTGTGTGATTTAATTTCTGTTGGTGCATCATGGGGAGGGGGGCAGACAGACTTCATTGGATGTATTTAAAGACACCACACTTACTTAGTAATGCAGTACTTTTTCTGTGAGGTAGTCCTTAAGGTATGTGTGTGATTTAGGCAACATCAGAAGATAGCCAAGAGACTGGAGGTGTGAAACTACTGCTGTTTTTTCATCATGAAATTCTTTCCTGTCTTTCTTCCTTCAGTTTGCATTGGCATGGCAGCACTGGGAGAAACAGCCTAAAGTTAGTGAAGGTACTTAAGACAGTGACTTTTCTCACTTTACCCTTGGAAACAGAAAAGTATTAAAATGAGGACTACATGTCCTTTTTATTTTATGTCCTTTTTTGGTAAAAAATAATTTATTAAAGTAAAAAACACGTTGCTATTAATCCTTATCAAAATAATTCCCCACACTTTGAACACACCCATTGTTCTTACCTTTCTCTTTGTTTCCTCTGTTTTTTATTAGTATATGTTTGTGATACATAATAAATACATTTATCATGAGAAAGGTACATGTACATATCACGTCTTGATCCTTTTGCCTTTCCATCTCCCTCATCCACAAATCTTTCCATCTCCAGAAAATCTGTCCCCGTTTTCTGTCTTTTATTTTGCTCTTATTATCTATACTTCAAGTTTCTCATGTAAAACCATGATAGTTAACCTTCATGTGCCTTTGTGTTTTTATCTACATAGCATACCTTTCACTATACTTCTTTTTAATTATTTTTATTGGTACATTTTTGTAGTATATAATAATTACATTCTTTTTGGGGAGTTGGTACATGCACGTGACATTTCTCAATTCTTTTTTTAACCCTTCTCCTTCCCTCTCTCCTCCTCGCTGCATCTCTTGGACCCCTTCTCATATGTGTGTGTGTGTGTGTGTGTGTGTGTGTGTGTGTGTACATTATACATGTAATTTTTTATACATGATTGATCACTTTCCCCTTGGGGACTTGGTGCATTGTACCCAGTGCTTCACAATCCCACCCCCTTTTTTAAAATCTTATTTCCTACCCCTTCCTCTCTCCTCCCTCCTCTCTGTTCCCATCCCATATGCCAAAGATCCATCTTACTATTTCCTGTTGTCTGTCTTTAATTTTGTACTTTATTTATATATTAGGATTCTCATAAAAGAGAAATCATGTGATATTGAAGCTGTGTGTCTGATTTACTTCACTTAACATTGTATTCTCAAGATCCATCCATTTTCCTACAAATTTCCAAGTTTATCTTTGTTTATGCCAGAGTAGTGCTCCATTCTGTATAATACCACATTTTCTTTATCTACTCATCTGTTGATGGACATTTAGGCTGTTTCTAAGATTAAACTTTTATGAATTGTGCTGCTATAAACATGGGAATGCATGTACCACTGTAGAATGATGTCTTTAACTCTAATGAGAATATACCTAGAAGGGAAATAGCTGGATCAAATGGAATTTCATTTCATTTTATTTTGTTTAGACAGGGTCTCACTATTTAGTCCAGGCTGGCCTTGAACTCACTATGTCGCCCACACTGACCTCAAACTCCTGGTAATTCTCCTGCCTCAGTCTCCCAAATAATAGGATTACAGGCATACACTACCATATCCAGGTTGCAATTTCTATTTTTAGTTTGTTGAGGAATGATTTTCATGGTGATTGAGGACTGATTTCCATAGTAGTTGTACCACTTTATACTTCCACCAACAATGAAGAAGGAAGGGTTTCTTTTTCTCCTTAGCTTCCAGAATTTGTTATTATTCATTTCTTCAGTATAGCCATTCTTTCTGGAGTGAGGTATAATCTTAGTGTTGTTTTAATTTGCATTTCTAGAATAGTTAGCAATGTTGAACATTTTTTCATGTATTTATGGCCTTTTATACTTCTTTATCATTTCAGACACCCATTTTTTGGTTGAGTCTTCCAATTTAAGGGGCCATCTGGTTTTTTTGAAGTATTTATTCTAGATATTAGTCCTTTGTCTGAGGAGTAGCTGGCAAAAATTTTTTCCCATTCTGTAAATTGTCTCTTTATTCTATTGCTGACTTCCTTTGCTCTTCAGAAACATTTTAATGTGATGTGATCCTATTTATTGATTCTTGGTATTATTACTGGTGTAACTAGGGCTCTGTTCAGAAAGTCTTTGCCTATGCCTATGTCTTCAGGAGTTTTACCTATTTTGTTTTCTAGTAGAT